TGCCCATACCGAGGTTCGACCAGGACTCGATCAGGGGCTCGACTTTGCTCACGGTACCCATGGCGATTTTCGTCGGGCGATGCTGAAGTACGGTTTGGGAAGTAGCCTGACGGCATGTAATGATCCGTTTTGTAGCCACCTGCAGAATGCCCACTGTCAAAGTAAATGGTGCGGCCCTCTCGATCAAATTCTGTCGGAGAAGCGCCCCAAGAGCTTTGTCGGCAAGGGTCAATGTTTGAGACCCGAAGGATGCGTCCTGGTTCGTGTGCTTCATGAGGAGTGACCAGTGGCTTATACGGGGGCGCTGCGGATCTTCGATTATAATCTTCCGTTGACGGCTGCGTGTCTCGGCGTTGTTGCGCTTGACCCACGATCGCTGATTCTCGAATGGCTTCAGGACCATGCCAGGGGTTGCGTTCATGACTGGAAGCATCTGCATGCGTGGCATAGGTGTGCCAAGTATCATCCGTGGTTCGATCTGAATCGCTGGGCCGTACCATCCCACCTAAAGGCCATGCGGCCCCAGATTGTTGTGTGGGTCCGTTGGGCTTATTGAAGACCCAGGGGACTGCTTCATTGACTATGTTGAACTTGTGTCCCTTGCCGCCAATAATGGCTTTCAAGTCAGGAATTTCTGATACATCCGGCATAAGGATCATATCTTGTGTCCAATCGAGGCCTGGCCCACTCCTGTGCCCGACCTGCTGCAATCCGATATGCTGGTTTTCGAAGTGATTGACGAGCTGCGGGAGCGAGAACATGGTGCGTTCTGGATTGACTGGTGGCCCTAGACCCAATGTACAGGATCTGCACCTCAGTCCGTTGATATTGCGAACTGGACGCATAGCCTTGTTGTTTGATAAGCCATCGTTAAACATCCGCAACAAGGGAGGCTCGCCAAATTTGTGCCAGAAACGTTTGACCACATGGTGTATAGTGATGTATACTCTCAAAGGCCCAGGTAAATCCCTGGTTGTGCTAAGCGAGTTCCAAATGTCTCTCGCTATCCGAGCCAAGTTTTCCAACTGAGTGGTGTACGATGACGCAAAGGGCATTCCTTGAGGTGTAGCAGACGGTGGCTGAGGATTGCCTTGATGTGGAAGAGTGCTATGCGGTTGGCCAGTATATGGTGCTCCTAGCATGTTCGGAGGTTGCTCTTGTGGGCCAGAGAGTATGGGTCCAAAGCTAGGAGATGCCACAGGATAAAATTGGGGGGCTCCAGACGGCCCAAAGTTCGGCGGTAGGTAGGGCGCACGCGGTATGCTGGCATCCGTACTGTATGTTGGTAACGGATTGTACGGGGCAGCTTGTGGTGCGTGATAGGAAAGGGGCGGAACTTGGTCAGAAGGAAAACGGTGCACAGGGCTAGGTAGGAGACTGCCACTCCGACTAAGAGTATCATGACCTTGAGGTGGCCGGGGTCCTGTTGCCGCATGACCTTGGGCGGTTCCCTTTCCTGCGGCTTGCTGAGAACCTTTGGTCGATCGGCCGTTGGGTTTGAAGATGGGCTGCTCTGGCCATTCGGCTCTCCAGTGAACAACAATGTTGCCGAGACTGAGGGCCTTGGTATGCTTTGCGGCATAGTGTTGTATGACCCCCTCAAATCCGTAGAGCCTATGACTTTCGCAACCATTGCAAAGAAACAACTCCTTCCTATACGACTCGGTATGCTGTTTGATCTTCATATCAAACACCCACTTCATGTTCTCCAGAGTGAGCTTCTGTGTAAAGGGGCCACCTTGGGGATCAACAACAGGCTGCCGCCCTGCTGCGATAGCATCCGCAGCGTCTTTCGCAACATCGGCGTAGAATCTTGACCGCACGGATAGGAGGACCCCCGCTGCAAAACGTGGGCTATTCTCCTTGTTGACTTTGCGACCCTTATTCCAGCTACCGCGGATGATCTCGTCGGCATATTTTGACATTCGCGCTCGTACCGGACCTTGGATATCGTCCCAGTCTTGATCTGTCACTTCTCTTGTTGTCTCGACCTTCGTTTCAATGCTGGAGCTCCGAGATTCAATAAGACTGCTGTTGATATTCCTCTCGGCATCGGCTCGTTGAGACAGCAATTTGGGCTTCAGGGTATTCCACGCATTCTCGTCCAAGGCGGCCGTGATTTGTATGGCTGCTTGGAAAGAAGGCATGTGGACAACAACGTTGGGTGGCAGAGGAGGGTCGAGTAACATTGCGCGCCGCTCGATTTCAGCACGCCGTAATGCCTTCCGCGCGGCAGCCTCTTCGTGGGTCTTATCTGACCTACTGCGGCCTTCGGAATCTCGGTCCTCTAAAGAAGTTTGAGGGGACTTTCGTGGTTCGTGATCTTGGTCTTGCGCCAGTTCATCAATACTCCCGTTTCCCATAGTTTGCACGCTCCGGCACATTTGCGCTAGACCGCCAGCCGCTGCCCACTTCTCCCATCGTGATGCATCAATTCTGTGTTCTTTACCCTGGGCGCCTAGTCCCTTGAGCCACTCTTCGACGGCTGCTGTCCCAAGGCTCTGAACCACGTTTAGCTGTTCCTTGGCGGCAGTGATGCTGGAGGTTGAGTATAATTTTGTAGTCTCCAGCTTGTTATCGCCCACGTTGGTTTCCAAAGTGCTCGATGGAATGGCCTGCAGTTCGGGTGTGACGAAAACAGAGGCGAGTGCTGGGATGAGGGATGATGGGGTTGTGGAAGAAAGTAACAGGTCGATCTCCTATGGAACGTTTAGTTTGTAGACGAAAGATGACGAGATTCAAGCAGCAAACAGACCTTCACAGAATGTTTCAAAAGACAGGGACCGCAACAGGTGACGCCAAATGCAAATACAGTTGCCAGACCATACACTCCAGGCCCTGGACGCCAGGGATCAGCATTCTCTTGTTGTTGATCAATCGAATTTGTAACACCGCAATATTGACAGATTTTGGTGCAGCATAGCCGCCACATATCGAGTTCAGTACGATTCCCCAGCGGAGAGGGCATTCTGGGATGGTGCAATCTCCTTGACTGCTGCCAGACTGTATCTGGTTTCATTGGCTTGAAGAGACTCGCATTTTCCGGGTAAAGAGCAGTGTTGTCGAAAGCGGAGTGAGAATCAAGATACCCGTTGAAAAGCTTGTTAACTCGTAGCAAGGTACCCAAGCTCCTAGGGGGGAGAAATGCGAAAACTCGATGCCATATTCCAGAGGGAAGAAGTGATCTATTCCCAGGCAACTGAGGCGACTTGGTCCTCATAGCCTCAAGCTTCAGCCTCTTGGATGTGCCTAGGTCTTGACTAGTATCACTGACTTCCACAATGCTCTGAGCAGCCTTTCGTTTGTTGTCCCTGCTCGACTGACCCTGCAAGCTCATGGCGGCTGGGTCGAACGTATTGACATTAGAGAGACAATCGTTCCTTGGTGTGAAGAACTTCACATCGTCTGAAGGTGCACCAGCCTGAGATGAAGCAGTTTTGCCATCGTCTTCAGTTGGACTGTGAGGCAACGAGGAAAGCTCCATTGCAGCCTCTCTTGGGGATGAGATACCTCGGCCAGAACGCAAGATAGAACAGGAAAGGTGTGATGGGTTAGATTGCCAATAGCAACTGTGAAAGGTAGAGTAGAAAGAGCTTGGGAGAGATTGGAGAGCTTGTACACTTGTCAGATCTGAAAATCGTGATAGCTTGAAGGTCACACAACGAATGATCTACTGTCAATTCGTTGTGTCTCGGACCCGACTCAAAAGTCGCCTGCCGGATGGAAATATGGCCCTCACACCTATGAGAACCCAAGGTTTCGTGGGATTAAGAGAAATATGATACTGAGATGGCCCTCATACAGTCTGAGAGTAGTAATGAACGTCGGGAACACAGGAGCCTCCAGACCTACAGTTCTTTCCCTGGAGATCACTCCAAACGAGGAACGTTAGGCGTGAGCGGACACATACGCTTGGGGGTAAGAAGAAACAATGCCACCGCTACTCGTTCAGTTCCCGTAACATGATTTTGGGAAAGAGCGATGGGCGGCTGACCGACGTGACGGGACGCAGAGGAAGGAAGTTGAAATGGCCGATGAAATGGATTGAAGTGGTGGTTAAATGTTGAGTTGTACCTCCATGCATTAAGGTAGTTTCCAATGCTAGCTCGGAGCCACGGAGCTACAGGGCGCCGTTCATGGACGAGTGGAGACCTACCTACCTAGGTAGGTACCCAGTCGGATCATGCTCAAGCCTCAAGGTACCTTGGCTCTCCCACCGTATTTTGACGTGAGTAGGTACCTCCGCGAAGGTAGTTGAGTTTGCCAAGATGCGGAATTCCAGTTTTTCCATAAGATTTCACCTTCTAATGTAGATGATGTTCGTGACGGCTGTATTCGCTCTTGCGCATCGGGAAACGGTGCATACGGTCAACGACTGAGTATCGGAAGTGAACCTGGCGTTTAGCTTGGCTACAGATCAACGTCCTCACCACGAACGAAAGGCTGATGTCACAGGCACTTAGTACCTAGTGTTGCCAATGCATCGTATCCAATTCCTACGTCTGGAATGTAGGAGGGAAATCTGTTTTAAGATTGGGGACTAGTTTAATTGGGAAGATCATGGCTATCTAGCTTACGAATGTGTGGTCATCGCCGACTTAAGTCTGGTAATTTTCCCCCTCTTCAAGGCCGTACTTGACTTTGGATCAAACAGCAACGGTGATGGTAAAAAACGGGATAGCTAATTATAATCATGACTGTGTCGTGCCATTCTTGGTACTTTGTTGGACAAAAGAAATGCAAGGTAGTAGAGACCGAGCTGTGTAAACAGCCATCACGGAAGAGGTAGGCAGAATCCCTCAGGTGCCTTATGTCTATGGGACTCGAGAAGATACAGTCAACGTACCAAATTGAGCGAACGGCTTCGCCTTGGGCCCTCAACCCCCTTGACCAGCGAGCTCGTATGTTTGTGTAAGGTATGCAGCAAAACTTCTTAGACGATTAGCCTTAGCCGTTTGTAAATGAGGCGAAATGCGAGCTTAGCGTCTCTTGTTTTTTTATCATTCTCCCGTGATCTTCTGCCTTCGCCAACGCTGCTGGAAGACCTGGCAACGTTGTGTCTGCATAGTGCCAGTATCAGATTAGCCAGACCTGTTTGAGTTGTCGGATCTCGTTCCAAGAATCGCCACCCACCTATCGTCTTGTGACGCAGGAATCGGCCTGTTTAAAGTTGTGCAAAGTTTGGAAGTCACCTCTTAGAGTCATCAGCCGATCTCCATGAGCGAGGCTATGAGTTGCGTCTCCGGCTTCCTTTTGCCTCACCCTCTCCCTCTCCTTGGCCTCTCCTGCTCTCGCGATCAGTCTCGTTAATATCATCGGCTGTTGCTCTGCGAGCGCTGGGATCCGGAGAGCGAGAGACGCTACTATCGTGGCGATGTCGGGGACTGCTTCGAGATCTCGGACTTGCACGTCCCCGAGAGGTTCGACGCGTAGAGCTACGGCTGCGTGATCTAGAACTTCGAGACGATGCTGAGTTCGAGCTTCTACTGCGGGATCGTCTATCACGACCTGGCGAACGACTCCGTGAAGAGGAGTATCTACGGCGCTTTGCAGCCGCCCGTTTATCAGGCGATGTTGAGGGCGTCGAAGGGCTTCGTGAAGATCTCCTTTTCCTTCGTGATTCGCGATACTTCCCCTGGCTTCTTCTCGGCGACGCCGATCGATTTCTCGTAGCCCTGGGGCTGGATACGCTGCGTTCTCGACGAGTTCGTCGGGCGGGGGCCGGGGGCGAGCCACGACTAAAATTCCGCTTGCGATCGGGGCTGCGCGACCGTGAGGTGGCGGATGCCGGAGACGGAGAGCGCGTGTCGTTGCGACGACGGCCAGATACTCGGCTATCGAGACCGCGATTCCTTGGGACATAGCTGTCTCTAGTGGACCCACGGAACAAGCCTCTGTCCCTCTGATCACGGTTCCTCGCAGCCGGTGAGCGCGACCTGTTGCTACCAAACCGTCCTCCGTGTCTACCTCTTTGGTCGTAGTCCCTGTCACTGTTGCGACCACGCCGCATGTCTCCACCGCCGCCGCGGCCGCGTCCGCGTTCACTGCGATCCCTATCTCTCGGTGCCGGGCCATCTTGTTGACGCCTGTCGATATCGCCTCGGCGGCGTCGTGCCTCGTCTGCAGCACGATCGGCTTCCATCTGGTCTATGTCAGTGACTGTCCTTGGCTGTGGATGAAGATTGATACGTACCTTTTCTTGTATCAACTCTAGCTTCTTGGCCTCTAGAAGTTCTTTGGGCACACCCTGAGGGCTTGTTTGGGCACTCAAGAACAACTTCCATAGTTCCCTGCAGAATGGCGCCGTGTCCTTGTCCAAGAAGCCCGTAAGTTGTATTTGTAAAGCTTTAATGTCTGGCTGGAGGAAAGTCAGAAGATAATCGCGAGAATCGGTCGAGGCAGACAATACTGACAAATCGGGGCCCTTCGATCAGATTGAAACAAAGCTCGATAACAACGTCATCTTCGCTTCCCAGGATGTCGGAAATTTTGCTGGCTATCCACCTGAAAGAGATCAGTTAGCAATTGAATGACAATGGAAGGCGAGGCTCATGCTTTTTCATCACCTGAAGGTTGACCTTTTGCATGTCAACCTTTTGATTGAATTCCGCAGGGAATTTGGTGGACTTTAGGAGCTTTGCGTCGACGCCGGTCGCCATGATGATCGGAGAGGCAAAGAGCGGACGGGGTAAGAGGATGGAGGAAGAAGAAATGGAACTGTGACGTCGATACAAGGACAGTCTAGCAGGAGATCGGGAGCTGGCTGGGGTTGAACTAAGAGCTCTGTATCGGGTCGCTGAATGGACGCGTCGGGGTTCCAGTTAGACCGCTTCTTGTGCCTCAGGTACCAGCAGTGATTCTAGGCTCCATCAGGTCTTGTGAGTTAGTCAGCGCATGGAGTCACAATGCTGGGTACCTACCCTAGCACTCAAGATACCTAAGGCAGGCACGGCCCATGAATCTAAGGCTGGACAGGCACCTTCTTCAGGTACCTAAGCACCTGCGATACCCGGCTAAGGTAGGTAGCTACGTAGGCAGGTCCCCATGACGCTGCCCAAGGATTTGGGGCGCGGGGCTCACAATTGGATGTCCTCTATGTCGATGCAATACCCCAACATAGAGGGGTGAAGTTGAGGTCCACCAACATCAATTCCAGCTCAAATACTGGGCACATGAACGAAGTCGTCTGCCATCGCTGCAAGAAGTCAGAAACCGACTCTTCATCGCATTTAAGCCCCCTCGCATTTCTATCGGTCCGTCCGGTCAGCTATGGGATTGCCCCTCAGGATGGACAACATACACGCTCCAACCGTGCCCTCGGGCCCAGCCAGCAATACGTCGAGGAACGGTGACCTTGGTCGCCTCTCTTTTGCCGAGCTACAGAACAAGAAAGAAAACATGGAGGCTGAATTGAAAGCTTTGGGTGCAGTCCTCGACTCTGTTTGTGATTTCAAGACCCCCCGCTCCAGTGTTCGGAGACGAACATGGAGAAGCGAGTATTCAGCTGATTGGTGAGCCAGCACGGGGTTGACATGAACACACCTCTCACAACTCAAGACGGCTTTCCAAGAGCCGATCTCGATATTGCTCAAGGTGTTTCTCCTCTGGTGGCAGAGATCTAGTACCCTGCTGATTGTAATAGTGCGTACTACCAGAGCCCGCATCATCCACCTCCGCAATGACTACAAGGAGCTCATGGCCATGGTTGAGAAACAACTCCATGAGCACTTTGCCAGCTTGCAAGAAGAGGAGAAACCCGAAGTTCCGCTCTCCGACAACACCCTGGCAGATCATTCAGCATCTCAGCCGCTGGAGGAGCCATTCGCAAAGGTCAACGCTGTGGTTCCGGGGAGCCCAGCTGAGTTAGCTGGCCTAAAGCCGAATGACCAAATTCGCATATTTGGCTACGTCAACAGCTCAAACCACGACAATCTCAAGAAGGTGGCCGAATGCGTGCAAGGGAATGAAGGTGTAAGTTGACTATTGCCCGACACTCGTGTGGATATGACATTAACCAGACAAAGCGACCTGTTCTAGTCAGGATATCTCGACCCAGCCAAGGGGCGCGGGAGGAGCTGCACGTAACACTCACTCCGAGACGTAACTGGGGTGGCAGAGGTTTGCTGGGCTGTCACATCCTACCTTTGTGAGAGAGGAATATACTGCTTCAGCTGCAGCGACCAAACAAGGATCTGATATCGCCGTATGTACAGTAGGCCGACATGTTTCGCGACAACTTCACTGACATAAGACACGAAGATTCATTCCGAAAAGTACACGGCTGCGCGCTGTTGAGAACGATCAGTGAGAGTCACTAATGCCTTGGGTGCCCGAAAGATAGAATTAACTGGCCGAAAGGCCGCTTCGACTCCACGTGGCTCGGCATACTTCTGGATTCACTAGCATGACTAGGTACCTGGTGTAAGCCATCGGCTGCGGTCATTAGATGAACCATTAGGCAGATAATTGCCATGGCTGGACAGGCAGCGATTAGGAACAGGCAAAGTGGTAGTTGGATTACAAAGCAAGTCGCGGCCTGATGGGACAGCTGCCTGTGTCGAATGTTTAAGGGGTTTTGTGAGATGTGTGGCGGAGGATGATGTTGGCACTACTTACTTTTGAGATAATGATTGCATGTTCTGGTGAGAAAGAAGAATGTCAATGGATGGCTAACAAAGGTGCCGTACCTAGGTACTATGTCTGGATTGACCGCCCACGCCTAAGGTAAGCAGTGACGGAAAAGCGGACCTCGAAAATTATTTTGGTAGTTTCCATGATACGAGCATGAGAGTTGTCGAGCGCGTCAAGTATGCATTCGCCGCCAAACTGTGTGAAATTTCTTACCTTGGGGTTCTTGATGAGAGCGATCTGCCGGCGAAGGTTTTTAATCTTCAAGTATCCGAAGCAATGGAACCCAACTTGTTGCTGAAGGAGGCAAGGAAATATCCAGTCACCCAAATGGAAGCGGCCCGGAGGAAAGAACAAATGGAAAGAGACGTACTTGCCGTCGCCCATTGAAAGGGAACCCCACTATGACGAGACAGCGATGCACGTGACCCTTGCCTAGCCCAATCGTGCCTACCCGACTTCGTTGGCCTGCCTGACTGAATTTTTCGCTTAAGAAGTACGGCTTCCTTGCAAGCTCCCCCGCCATCCTCAAAAACATAACCCCCCCCTAAAGTCGATCAGTCGGTGACGATTTCCACTCGTCGAAAAGTTTACAGCCCACTACCCATCCCTCTCTCCGGTACGAATTCATCTACTCCGCGCCCTTGCCGACGCTGGTTTGCGCCTTCACGTCGACGAATCTCTCCATTTGTTTGCCTTCTTTCGCTTTGCGCCAGCTGCTAACCTCGCGATCAGCCCCGCTTGTTTACAATTAACTCGCACCGATCCGATTCCTTCACCGATAGCAAACATGGCCGAAACTCAGCAGACTCCTACCTTCAAGCTCGTTCTTGTCGGTGATGGCGGTACCGGAAAGGTGATTCTAATACTCCCTCGTCCCCCATGGCCCTTATCGAGGTTGCGCCCGACAGCATCGTTTGCCCTCTTCGCCAACATCGACCCCTCGACTTCAGCCGATAGCATTCCCTTCCACTTCCCCCCTCCATTCTATCGCGTTGCTAACAGTGTGTAACGTTGTAGACCACTTTCGTCAAGCGTCACTTGACTGGTGAGTTCGAGAAGAAGTACATGGCCACTCTTGGTGTCGAAGTCCACCCTCTGGGTTTCAGCACGGTAAGTACCTCCCATCGGCTTGGTTCCCCTATAGCATCGGTCGCCGGTCTCTAACTCAGCGCGCGCAGAACTTTGGTCAGATTCAGTTCGATGTTTGGGATACCGCCGGCCAGGAGAAGTTCGGTGGTCTCCGTGATGGTTACTACATCAACGGCCAGTGCGGTATCATCATGTTCGATGTCACTTCCCGTATCACATACAAGAACGTCCCCAACTGGCACCGTACGTGGCACCCATTGGATCGGCATGACTCGAATCTATGTCTTTGACCCCAAACGACCAGCCCAACTAACAAGGATCATCTAGGCGATCTCGTTCGTGTTTGCGAGAACATCCCCATCGTTCTCTGCGGTAACAAGGTCGACGTGAAGGAGCGCAAGGTCAAGGCCAAGACCATTACCTTCCACCGCAAGAAGAACCTTCAGTACTACGATATCTCTGCCAAGTCCAACTACAACTTCGAGAAGCCTTTCCTCTGGCTTGCACGTAAGCTTGTCGGCAACCCCGCTTTGGTATGCTCCCGAACGATCTTCTGCACCGGTCTCTGCCTCCAAAATTTTCATGCTAATTGCTCCACAGGAATTCGTTGCTGCACCGGCTCTCGCCCCCCCCACCGCTCAGGTCGACGCCCAGCTCCTCGAGCAGTACCGCAAGGAGATGGACGAGGCCGCCAACATGCCTCTGCCCGGTGAGCTTTCGGACGAAGACTTGTAAAGATAGAGACGCGGCATGGACATGATCCCAACGCGGTGGAACGGTTGAAAGGACGTCGTGAACCGAAATTCTCTGGCGCAGACCGGCAATAGCTGGTCACGGTCATTATGGTAGAAGACGGCACGGCCGGTTCGTATGGTAGACTCGGAGCTGGATGGAGGGTTTTACACTTGCTGCGAGACGACCAGCATACTTTGAGTAGTTTGACGCCTTACAAGATGAACACTGAGTCCTTACATTTCCACCAAGGTGTCTCGGGTTCGCTCGTCCTCTTCTCTACTATGCGTATCCGTACCTCGACAGACAGCGCAATGCACTTAATTAGATAGCAATTCAATGGTTAGCTAGGCATGATTGGGGAGACAGACAGACAGACACGCAGACAGACAATGAGAGAGAAGAAGGACCGCAAAGGCAGGTAGAGAAACGGTCAACAACATAGTCTCGTCAGGACCACATCATGCAACTCAACCACGCTACGTCACATCATGTTCTGAGTGAGAGATAATAAGTGGGTTCCAGATATCTCGAAAGGTGCATAAGTAGCACAAAAGTAAGTAGTACCTTTGACGATAATGTGACGGACCCAGGTTGCGAGTGAGACCGAATGAAGTACCTAAATGGAAAGTCCAGGGCCCAGACCCCAGAATATTGCTTTGCCTTTCGATGAGTGTCGGTGAGAGGTGGGAACGGTTACTCGTCCTGTGTAATATATTCCAAAGTTGGTATTCTTGAATGCAGTATAGAAACAAAGAACTTCTATGGAAGCCCTTGTAGGTTGAGCTTTCGGCAAACACAATTCAGTTGTTGGAGACACAATCGCAAGGCAGGTAGCTGTACCGAATAACTTAGCAGCTGAAATTCGAATTGAGAGGAGCCTGAGCATTTGCACAAATGGGTCTGTATTGTGGCCGCAAGCACTATTTTTGTACCAGATTCCGGTATGTGTTTTCAAGGGTCCGGGGCCGTCTCTGATGGTCACCAACCACCTCTGGATGTACACGATACCGTGTACTCTGTCAAAGTCAGTGCATACCCACTGTTCGCTTCTTTGAACGCGATTTTGGTTGACCAGTAACAGAAGTGCTGGTGTGTTAAATACTCGGGATCCAGCGACGCGTCTGGGTGTCTGTTTGTCGGGGAGGTGGCTGGGTGTTAATCTATGATAGTACGGAACTTTGGTGTCTGACGGAAGAACCGAGAGTTGCTAGCGGGACTTAGGAGGACATGGATTCTAATGGAGATTCTTTTGCTGAGTGCGGCTTACGTGCCAACTGCCACGCGCGTCACTGGGTCTGCTGTATTTCGAGGTGGGAGGGCAAGGTGGGCGTTAATTGGTATATGACGGAGAACAAAGGTTTTCCGTACTCAATCAAGTGTGTACGTATATTGTTCCAGCCTTCATGCCTCAATTCGCATTCGCGCCAGGCTCCATGGTCCCCGAGCAGACTCGGTCAGATGCGGCAGGGTGGGTACACGGAGGAGGGATGGTCTGGGGTCAAATACCACGCACAAGCGACGACCAGTTGCCCTTCGCGTTCTACCGCTAACGGAAGCATAGTATCGAATTCAGGTCGAACCGGGGTGTTTTGCACGCGCGTGGTGGCATGTAAAAATGACGAAGAGTGGTATCTCAGAATGCAGCACATGACCAATCTCTACTTCGCTTTTTGGATACGATTCACACATTCGGCCTTATGGGCTTCTTATCCGGTATGTCACGAACAGCTTATACGGCGCGAGAGGCAGACTTGTATGCATACGCGCGTTGTTCATCAGGCGAGGCGCCAGACCAAAAGCACGCTAAGTCCAGAAAATGAGGAGGAGAGGTGTGGAGGTAAGATGAGAGAGCGAGTGGACTAAGGGATGTCCATCGGTCAGGTCGTCAACGGTAAGACTAGCAGAGTTCGATGCGTGCTTGTAATTTTCATGCGGACCGCAAATGATTAAGGTGTTAGGTATTTTTAGGGTCTGTCTTCAATCTTGTCGGTGTATGTAGCCCCTGGTGATGGAAAGTAGACTGTTTTTGTTTTATTTCCCAATTGAAAACAGACGCGCGACGTGACTGGTCCAAGCCTTTTATGCGTAGGCTATTCGTACCTTACCTTATGACACTAATTTGCAGAAGCTAGGTACCTACATTGAGCGCGTAGACTTGATTTTAAGTAAGCAAGGAACAACGGACCTTTGGGTCAGTGAACATGAAGCCATGTGCTGAAGTACGTGCATGTATTGGCTATGTCTTGCGAACGACATTGCTCAATTCAGATGAATGTGTACTTGGATTGGCTTACAGACTGTCTGCGCCGCATTCGTCCGGCCATGGAATATGAGGCCTATAAATGTAGATGGAAGTATGCCGCGCCTGATGCTCGAGCGCAAACATTGCTGCGAGGTATTCGTAAGGTGGTAAATCACACAAAAACAGACGTGGAGGTGACTTGGTGGGTCTGCGGATCCGTGCCGCGATCGCGCTGTTGTGCGGTACCTGACCTGGTAGGCTTAGTGATACGGTACTTGGTAGATGATTATCACTTGCTACTCACTCAAATACTTCACATTACACTCAAGACTAAATATGATGAGTATTACGCGTCAGTACGAGTTTTCTTGAATCTGCAGCGAAATCTCACCTCTTTTTTATAAATACTTGCTCAACATGAATTTCAGAAAGACTTTTATATCACTGCACTGAGCCGGTATTCTGACCAAGCTCAGTACCTACGGTACCCTGGCCGGGTATCTGCAACTCCACTATCCACGTCTCTAGCGTGTAAGTGCCTTTCCCTAGTTGGGGTTCTCAGACGCGCCGTGTTCAACACCAAAACCCAAGTGGAAGGCACCACAACTCACCTGGACCGTACCTGACCTTAATTGCGACGAATAACCGCGCCTCGTGTGTCTCGACACTCTCGCTTCCCCACCTCGTCCGTTCCTGGAAGCCTCTCTTCGTCATTCTTCCTCTTTACTTTACTCTCCTCCCAACTTTTTTTGCCTGCAGTCCTACAATTATCTTCAATTCACTTTATTGTCACGCCTGTCCCGTGTCTCGTCCAATCTTCCTTGAGTGCACGCTCTCTATCATCGCCCCCGGCTCGCGACTCCTCGTTCAGTTGTACCGACCCCAGATCATGACTGTCGTTTACTACTCATAGCCTCGACCGCCGCCATGTCTGTCTCCGACATCTCCTCTCAAGCCTTGGTTGGAGCACCGCAGTCCTCTTCTTCCCCCTCTCCACGCGAATCCTCCTTCCGGACAGATCAACCCGCGCAGACTCCTACCAGACAGCCTCTTGCAACTGGGACAGAAACCCCCGACTTCGCGCCTTCTTCGTCTGTCAAGACCGAGGTGTCAAATCCCGACTCTGAGCGTCACCCAAAGGGAAAGAGGAAGAGAACTGCGTATGTCATTGTTCTTGGCCCCAATTGCTACGCGTTCTTGTGCTGCAGCCACTGACTCTTGTTTGATCACTGTAGTGCCAAAGACAAGTCGATACTTGAGGCTGCCTATGTTGCGAACCCGAAACCAGACAAGGCAGCACGCCTAGACATAGTGAAGCGCGTCTCTCTCAACGAAAAGGAGGTCCAGGTATTTGATAACATTGCCGGTACGACAACGGTCGCGCTTGGTGCTGATTGCGAGCGTGTAGATATGGTTCCAAAATCGTCGACAGAATGACAGGCGCAAGTCGCGGCCCCTCTCCGCTCAGGAGATTGCTGCCCTCCGGTACGGTGGTATGCAGATACTCTCTTCGGATCCAGTTGCCTACACCTCTTCCCTGCCGGAAGAACAAGCATCGCCAGTGGCAGAAACAGCTCCCATCAACGCTGTCGTGCCTGCGGAGACTCCGGTCAAGGCTATACAAGTGCGCGGAGACGAGGCGGATGAACAGCCTCAACACGCAACACCGTCCATTTTAAGTGGCGGTCCTGAGACGACGGTTTTGGAGACGCCATTATCCCAAGTCACGGCTTCCTCGTCTCAGCCTCACTCAACAGGGTCATCCTCTTTTTCAAACTCTGTTGGGTTCTTCACATCGTCTCATTGGAACGCAGCAAGTGCCTTTTCAACCCCTTCAACGCTCAACCGCAGCATTGACGAAACCCCCAAGTATGTCTCGTTCAGTTCATCGTGGACCGTCGTTTAGCTAATATATCATGCAGATCCGATCTATATACACCTGCGTCTTGCTCACCGCCTGCACATGGATCACAAACCCTGCCCTCTCCGCAATCGTCGCAACAGTCGCAGGTGCGATTGTCGCTTTCGCTCGAAGGCAAAGCTGAGCTTGTCTCTAATGAGAACTCACCCCCTCGCTTTCAGCCTACGAAGCTATTCTCGGATTTGGCAGCCTTGCCTCAGCCCAGAATAGCTCGACCACTCCAGCGCAGTCACAGTGCCCTCCCTAGCGTGACTCTACCACCCATAACAGCCCTCACTGACTCGCTGCCACCGGCACTGGGACGAGGCAGATCTCGTGACGCCCACGCATGGGAGCTGTGCTGTGATGCTGATACTCGTGACGAGCTCACGACGCAAGCTGAAGATGAGTCCAATGGCTCTGCTGTCGCTGCCATCAGTCTTCTCCGCTCAACCAGCGGCGTTCTTCAAAACAACAGCTCCAAACGGAACTGTCCTGCAAGTAGGCCGGCTTCTCGACCTCAACAGGCTAAGAAGCCTAAGCTCTGTCGCACATCTTCCAGCATGGCTAGAATGCAAACATCATTCACTGATAGCGAGGAGTCCGTATCTCAACCAAGTGAAGAGAAAAGCCTGGGTGACAAGGTCAAGGTGGACATGCTGATATCTCCATCGGGTGATTCTGATAAGGAGAATTGGACACCTGAGAACCAAGGCAACATGCGTCGGTTGCCGCCAGTTAATGACCGAAGACCTTTGCCGGCTACCGTTGACAGCCAGAACAATGCGAGACGAACAGGTCGTACTTTACAGGACCATCCCGGGCCTGCTATATTCAGCAGCAGCCGGGCCAGAACGATGCCCGCTATGGGATGCCGAGGATCCGGAAAATATGTCACCATATTCGAGGATGAGCAGAGCTCAAGCTCGCCTACAACAAAGGGCGCAGACGAGGTGGAGAGTTTCATGCGCGGCGGCGATGTGAGCCCAAGCAAGAAGGGCGACATGGATTGCATCGCAGGTCTGTTATCTCTTAGCCAAGGTGCCTGGCGATAGAAACTTGGCGTGGAGGTTGGCGGCTTCACACTCTCGTCGGGAGTAATCTACACAAAAAGTGAGTGTCTATGTTGTGCCCCCTTGTGGACACTCAGTCGGCTCCGTGGTAGCAACGGACAGATGCAAGTCCAACAACATGGGCAGTGGCCCCATCGTCAAGCGAGTTGCGACACAGGAAGACACAGTAAGCATGGCTGGAAGCCCGGCAAATTCAGAGATGGATGTGCCGGTCATACTATCTATCGCTTGCGAAGGTTCTATACTTCTGTCGTCTCTTGCAGGAGCCATGACCGACATGATGGAACCCAGCTCTCGCTCTCTAATGTCGCACTGCGTATCAGTTGAAGGAGTACCGTCTTTATCCTCATGTGTTGGTGTTGTGTTGGGGCTTGGAATTATCACAAGCAAATGGCGTCTTGGGATTTGGTTGTAGATGTGGCTCTGCAAAGTCGGTTATACATGTGCAATGTTTATGTTCTGGCCAAGCCTGTAGGGCGCCACGACGAAGCAAGTCATTAAAAGAGCAATGAAACACAAAAAAAAAACTAACAACATAACTGATGTGTCTCTTTGGCTTCGGATCACCGAGTAGTGTTAATTGGTGTCTGTGTGACGCTGTGTGAACAAGGGTGTAAACCAAGGTGCCATCTTATTGTTGTCTCCATAGATAGGTATGGATTCTCAATGCTCTAATACGATAACCCAGATGTTCATGCTCATCCAGAAACAGACCTCATTTTTACTGTTGCAGAATGTCAAGAATACATACGCTCTTTGTTTGGGAGGAATACATGAAAAGAGGTGACTTCGAGTCAGGCACAGGGCTGAAGGGATCTAGGTTCATATTCGTGGCAAAAGCTGTTTGGTACGTGACCACACCTGCTGGTCGGATCTACCACCAACCGCAGATGCTGGTGAGATTTTTATCTCACTCTCTTTGTTTCTATCTCTCTTTCTCTCTCTTGAGACTATGTATTCGCTGGTCGCAAGAGGATCGACATCCTCTTCCCCTCTCTTCTTTCAAGTTGAGAGGAGGGCGGGTACGTTGGCCTGCGCACACAACAGCTACCTCATGCAAGTATATACCGTGCCAGTGCCAATACCGGTATTATCTCCCTCGTCTTCTGGTGACGTTGGACAACACTGCTCATTCGAGCATGTCAGGTCTCAGTCTTTCCATTCACGCACACACAGCAGTGTGCGTCCCATGCGTTCCTGTCTTTCTTATGCCTTGCGAAATCGCTCAAGTCTATGAAACAAACAAATAAAAGATGCCAAAGCATCTTAGTCTAGCCCACCCTCCTCGCTAGTGGGGAGAAATGCGAAGGTGTAGTGCAGAATAGTCGAACAGAACAGAGCGTGCTGCTTTGCGTAGCCGAGATGCCTGTTTTGTGGTTTTGAAGAAAGTTGGGAATCATGATGCTCTGTCTCTAACGAATAAACAAACGGCCGTTAATCACATGCCCAGCAGACTCATCTGCCTTCTCAAGGGACTCGCACTGATACTGCCGTCCTCACTAGCGTAGCAGGCCGAGTCAGTGTCGATGTCCCACTCCGGATCTTCATCCTTGCCGTCCTCAGATGGGCAGAGGCTGCCGCCAGCAGAGGGGTCGAAGCCCTTTTGCGTTGCGGCGCGCGTGTTCCAGCGAAGAGTGCGGGAAACACTGTCGAACCACTCCGTCTGTGTTCGGACAACTGTAGGGAATGGGTATTGTGAGGCAGTGATGGTGACGTAGTCTCCTTGCTTCAACTCGACACGACCCTTGCCATCAAAGGCACAGTACGCCGTTGCGCGCGAATTACGCGGCACCGACACGCGGAGGAGCATCGTGTCAGAGAGAACCATCGGGCGGAATGAGAGGGTATGCGGGCAGATGGGTGTCAGGAGAATAGCCGGGATGTCGGGGTGTACCAAGGAACCTCCGGCCGAAAGAGAATAAGCAGTTGATCCTGTCGGTGTGGAGAAAATGCAGCCGTCGGCCTGCACGACAGTGAGGAGCTCGTCATCGCCGTAGAGTTCCAAGTTCGAAACGTATGGGGATGGGCCGCGATCGATGACAAGTTCGTTGAGAACCTCGAATTGCTCTCCTTCCTCCGCCTCTTGGCCAAGAGTGCCGTCACGATAGACAGTGCAGGTGAAGCGCATACGCAAGTTGACACGCATGCCCTCGTCACCCATGATCCGGTCCAAGTGCTGCGTGTACTTTTCAAATTCGAAGCTCGTTAAGAAGCCGAGACTGCCCAGACTGAAGGACAAGACGGGGGGCACGATGCGCTGAAAAAGCCATGACGTGAAGAGAACGGTTCCATCACCGCCGAGGGTAAGGACTAGGTCGAACTTCTCAGGTTGGCTCCAGCATAAATCAGGCGTCCAGTACTTGAGCATGTCCTGGTACGCAGGATTCTCTGCAACAATGCCATTGGCATCGAAGCGTCGAGAGTTGCGCAGCTTGGCGTCCACATAGACGTTGACGCCAACGTCGGCACCGTACCTCGGCGTACGAAGCAACCAGGTAGCGAGCTCGCGGGTCAGGTAGACGAGCTGGTTATCGCGAGCTTTGGTGACAATCATGACATTGCGAACAGCGCGCTTGATGGGGCGACGTTGCAACTGCTTGGAGACCTCGCGGACGCCGGTGGCTGTCTGCACGAGCCTAGAGTGTGACATGCAGTCGTCATTCTTGATCTCCTCAAGAACCTTGTCGATGTTGACGGCATCATCGAATCGGTTGTGATAGAAGCAGGGGGACTGCAAGGAGGGTAAGGCGGTGGTGGGGGTCATGCTCCGGTTGGCCAGCTCATTCAAGGCGTCGGCCAGCTTCTGGGACGAAGAAGTGGCGGGGCGGTTGTCGCAACCGCCTTGCTGGGACAACATGCCGGTAAGTGAGAGGGCTTCGGGTTTATTTCTGCGAACAACCGAAGCCAAGGCTTTCATAATAGTCTGGCGGGGAACTTCGTGGGAAGGTGCGCGACGATGGCCCTTGGGAGGATGGGCGGCAGCGCTGGCGTTGGCGTTGGTGGACTTGGAAAGAGGAGGCGGGAGCAGTTCGGGATAGGCGGCGGTAGAGGTTATTGATAGGGAGCTTCTTCTTATCGAGGACGAGGGGTTTTGTGTTGCAGCAGCTGTAGCGGGAAATCCGGCTTGGGCGCCAGCGTAGGGTTCCTCCTCTGCTACCGGACCAGCAGCATTGCGATGCAGTGACAGAGAGTGCGAGTGTGTGTGCGAGTGTAAATGGGAGACGGAGTTGGAGGTGGAGGCGGAAGAAGAGAGAGGTCGGTCGTGGACGGTAGTGGTGCTGACACTGGCGCTGGAGCTTTTGGGGCGGTCGGAAAGCGAGGTTTTAACTCCATGGGGGTCGGAAGAGGGCGACGAGGACGGCAACGCGGACGGCTGGTGCTGTTGCAGTGACAATGGCGCTGGCGGCGGAAGCGGATTCGGATTACTGAGGGCGGGGTGCAGGGCGGTGGGCGAGGAGACGAAGCCCGACATGGTTAAGAATAGTGGCACTGCCGTATCTCCGCCGACGGGGCGTGGAAGGTGAGAGAGAGGTGGATGGAGATCGGGGTATGGGTGTGATGGATGGAGGAGCGAAGTACTCTGTACCGCGTGAACCGATCCAAGGTGCAAGGTGAGTTGAGGTGGGTGAATGGCCGGAAAGTGAGCGATGGACGGCTAGGTGGTAATTAATTGTCGCAAAAAATAATGCAGCGGCAGTGACGAAAGAGTAATAATAGCACCTTCCGGGGGCCTGGGCTGCACGGCAGAAAACCTAAGTACCTTTCTCCGTAAGGTATGTGGTGGAAGGCACGAGTACCTCAAGGTGGGTACTTCTGACTTGGTAGGCGAACCGTGGAAGTGGGCAGGGGGTCGGGTGGTGGCAGGGACCTGTTTTCCGCTAAGGCCGAGCGAAGTTCGAACACCAAGCGGTAATAGCAGACACAACTGACTGCTGGCGAACCGAGAAGTAGCAAGTACCAGAGAACTGTTCCTACAACGTGGAGACCACACACAAAAGAAGGTCGACCAAGCAACTTTCTAGACTCCAGAGTCCAAGGAAATGGAAACTGGGAGCAACCGGACCTTACGGACCACCGACGCCGATGGGATCGGTCAAGTACTGATGGGCGTTATTGCCGTGTAGATCCTTGTGTTAGGCCGCGATTGAACGACCGTTGCTTGCGTGATGGAACGGGTATCCGTACTGGGCGGATTTACCACAAACTCGTACAAGTGTGTTCAGAACGTCTCTGATGTCGGGTAGAACACAGGTTCAGAACAGTGTCCAAACGGAAATAGTCGGTGCTTTCGCAAGCTTGGCAACCTCGCAATCTTACTGAGATGGACACCGTAACTCTAGGCTCTACGCTCGGAGAGACTGTCTGTCTTCCTGTTTTTGCTCTCTCACGCACCCTCTAGAGATGCAGGTCGATGTGCAGGTAAGCTGGGCAATTCCTGCAGAGTTGTGACTCGGGTGTGACGGAGTCTCGGATGGAACGAATGACGCTAAATTGAGTCGAATTGCCGCCTCGGAGCGGATAACTAAACCAGGCTGATGACTGCTGATTTGTCTGACAATGTTGCAGTCGGGTGTGACGACTAACCAGAATCTGAGTGATAAACTACTCGTCTGGCAGGTCGGTTCTTGGTAGTCCGGATGGGGCGTCTTGAGGTTGAGGATGACGAGAACTGAGCCGAGTCGACAGTGTGAAACCGAAGGCGATCAAATAAAAAGCGATGAAAAGCCAGCAGCCGCAACGAAGTAATTAAGTGAAAAGGGGTATGATAGCAATGCAGTGCACAAGCAAGGTATCTGATGCAAAGACAAGGCAAAGAGAGGTAGTCAAGCAAAGAATTATGAACAATGCCCCAGAAGACGTAGCGGCCGAGGTAATTGCTAGAACTACCGGAGCTCTGCTTCGAAAGGAACGGGGTGAATGGGGGGGGGGGGGGGGGAGGGGGGGGGGGGGGGGGGGGGGGGGGAGGGGGGGGGGGGGGGGAGGGGGAGGAGGAGCAGGGGGGGGGGATGGGGGGGGGGGGGGGGGGGGGGGGGGGGGGGGAGAAGAGGAGGAGTTTGTGGTGGTAGAGAGAAGGAGGAGGAGGAAGAGGAAGAAGAGCGATAAACCAAACGAAGACGAAATAAGAGAGTGACCAGACTGACTGACAAAAGAACAGAGGGGAGGCCAGTTCAAGATTCGTCCCAGCAGTGCAGGAGCTTTAATATTCTAAGTCACAATAGACATTTCTCCCCTCTCCTCCCCTTAGCCCCCCCCCCCCCTTCTCCCCTCTCCATTTTCAT